GTCGACACTCATCCAGACCATCAAAGATGAACACAACCTGGAAGTCTTCAAAGCTGCAGATTCCTGCTTCTTTGGTTTCAGTAAAGAAGTGATGGACAAGTCCCACCAAGCTGAACTTTTCCTCTTTCAGCACATTCAGCTCTCTGAAAGTGAATGGAAATATGAACTGGATGTCCTGGTTGGCTTTGTCTTCAGCCCAGTCCAGGGTGTATTTCTGTGTTAAGATTGTTTTCCCAATGCCAGCCACTCCCTTTGTCAGCACTGTTCTGATTGGTTCATCTCTTCCAGGTGGGAGTTTAAAGATGTCTTCTTGTCTGATTGTTGTTTCTGTTTTTTTTGTTTTCCTGGATGCTGTTTCAATCTGTCTGACCTCATGTTCATCATTGACCTCTGCAGTCCCCCCCTCTGTGATGTAGAGCTCTGTGTAGATCTCATTCAGAAGGGTTGGGTTTCCTGGTTTAGCGATGCCCTCAAACACACACTGGAACTCATAGTTCAGCTTAGACTTGTGTTTAAGTTGACACCTCTGAAGAGTCTCTGAATTTAAAACAGTAGATGAGATGATTAGTCCACTATGGTCCATACATTGCCAACAACTTATATATCCATTGATTTGCATCTTAATAAATTTTGTTTAAATCTCATTGGATGTTTGTGTAGCATATGGGTTATACTTTTAAATTTCACCAAAACATGCTCTGTTTAATTAAATATTTCATTTTGTGTTTTAATCTCCAGCCCATGTGATCCGAGTCTGTGTGTGTTCGTGTGCGCTTCGTAGGCTCGTGCATGTGCGCTCCGGTCACAGCTCCTTTCAGCATGGCCAGAGGAAAGTCACTGCCTCATTGCTCTCAGCTAATTAAAGTTTATTAAGACCACAAGCTGCAAGTTGAATTTAGCCGAACTGCCGCATTTTGGTCTGTTGTTAACAGACTCGTTCGGTATACGTTTTGTAGAGGGCGGAGTTCGCTAATTTAACTTTTTTTTTTTTTTTTTTAAAGAGTTTTAGCAAGAAGATGCAGCTGTAACTTTTTTTAACAGCATGCACCGTTTCTGTTGTCAGGAGACACGCACAGATCACAGGCCTTTATTTCTATGTGTTGCGGGTATGGGATGTGGCACAGGCCGAGGGGGCAGTGTGGCAGCAATTTTTCACACCAGCCTATTAATTAACGAAAGACCAAGACAGACTTTTAATTCATTTGAAAGCCTGATGCTTAACCTTGTCCACCCCAGTTGTAAAACTCAGAAACCTTGTTATCATCTATCGTCCACCTGGGCCTTACACAGAGTTTCTCTCTGATTTCTCAGACTTTATATCTAATTTAGTTCTGAGCTTAGATAAAATAATTATTGTGGGTGATTTTAACATCCATGTAGATGCTAAAAATGACAGCCTCAACATGGCATTTAATCTGTT